ACCTCCCCCCTCACCCCCATCCCAGGCCCCAAGAAGACTTTCCACATCAAGCAGATGTTCACCTGCACATATGCTGATGTGGTATACTGTATCCACTGTTCCCGTTGTGGCCTCCTCTACATCGGGGAAAACAAGCGGAGGCTTGGGGACCGCTTTACAGAACACCTACGCTCGGTTTGCACTAAACAACTGCACCTCCCAGTCGCGAACCATTTCAACTCCCCCTCCCATTCCTCAGACTACATGTCCATCCTGGTCCTCCTGCAGTGCCACAACGATGCCACCCGAAGGGTGCAGGAACAGCACCTCATATTTCGCTTGGGAACCCTGCAGCCCAATGGTATCAATGTGGACTTCCCAAGCTTCAAAATCTCCCCTCCTCCAACCGCATCCCAAAACCAGCCCAGCTTGTCCCCGCCTCCCTAACCTGTCCTTCCTCCCACCTATCCATTCCTCCCACCTCAAGCCCCACCCCCATCTCCTACCTACTAGCCTCATCCCGCCCCCTTGACCTGTCCGTCCTCCCTGGACTGGCCTATCCCCTCTCCAACTCCCCACCTACACTCACCTTTACTGGCTCCATCCCTGCCTCCTTGACCTGTCTGTCTCCTCTCCACCTATCCTCTCCTTTATCCATCTTCTATCCACCTCCCCCTCTCTCCCTATTTATTTCAGAACCCCCTACCCCTCCCCCATTTCTGAAGAAGGGTCTCGACCTGAAACATCAGCTTTCCTGCTCCTCTGATGCTGCTTGGCCTGCTGTGTTCATCCAGCTCTACACCTAGTTATCTCATCTATAATAAGTAAGGGGAAAAATGAGACCTCCTCTTACTGTGGAGCTGTAGACTGATACATTTAGTTTGGGGTGCATAGCAATCTGCAGTTAAGAAATTGTCTGCACTTCTGAGCAGTGTAAACATGCAAACTGATGCCAATTGGACTAATTTCAAATTTCATTTCGTGAGTTCTGCTGCAGGATTCAGCAAAAATCCCTATCATCTAAAATACTGGACAAGACCCTGGACATTTCTACTATCTAAAATACTGGGCAACTACCTCAACTGAACAACAAATGCACACAGAGCCAGAATAATTTCAGTCTGGGACTCTTGTTCAACGTGGAATTCCAGTATACACCTCTGCTCGAAGAGAACAATCAACCAAACCTAACACTCTAGAGTGAAACTAACTTTTACTTCTTGGGCTACCAAACACACGAACCTATACAGTTCTGAGGAAGGATCACCGGACCCGAAACATTAACTCTGTTTTTTCCTCTACAGATGCTGCCAGACCTGCTGAGCTTTCCCAGCAACTTTGTTTTTGTTCAAGAACTTATACAGATACTGGACATTCAACTTCAACCAGAACCCATTTATACATACACTTAACTATCAGGAAGCCAATTGACCTCAGAAAGTAGCACCAGAAACTCAATGGACAACACAGATGAGGGGAGATAATGGGGTACACAGTCTGTTTAACTATTAGCTCCGATCTGACCTGGAGAGAGAGAGACAGAGCCTTTTAAACAATAAGTTTCTGTAGAAAAAACTTCCCACAGGCTCCAGCCCCAACAAGCAGCTTTGGAACCAAGAATCAAATTAGGCCAAACAGAGAAGTTGAATCGCGAAGACAAACCAAGAGCACCATCTCAACAAAGAACATCTGAGAGGGGGGGAAGCCAACCAAACACTTTCCGAACAGGAGCTTCCAGACACAGGCCTGTTCCGAGCCAAGAGAACCGACGGCAAGAACTTCAACCTGACTCATTTCAAACTTGTATTTTCAGGTTAATCAGTTGTGTATTTAATGTTTAAATTACCCAAAAGTGGTGTGGTTTGTGTATCTTTATATTTCTGTATCTTTTTGTATGACTGAAAGTGTTGTGACACATACTAATCACATTGCACCTTATTTTATTGTCCATTTCAAAGCATTGCATGCATTCTTGTAATTCCAGTTCACTGCATTACATGTATCATTTTACCAAAGATGATGCTGTTCAATAAAGTGAAAGTTAGGAAGACTATGTTGGGCATTTGGAAAAAGTTTGATTTTCTTCTAATCCACCATGGACTTGTTTCACCTCCATGAATCCTAATAAATTGTCCCAAGAAATGGTGACTGAAAAGTGATTGGACAAATTTAGGAGACAAAAAGCACTACCTACATAAAATAGCACATCATTTATGTGTGCTATAATCCTGAACCTTCTTAGGACCAGAATTTGTACTGACAGTAACAGTAATGATTCTAATAAATGGGCCAATTGTATATTTTTAAACAAATATTTGTGAAATCATATTGTCATTGGAAATGAATTACAAATATTAACAATTTGTTGGGTGCTTTACCAGCTGGTGGATGGATCCGTGTGGGTTCCGTGCCAAGTCTAATCACTACATTTTTCCTCCCACACAGATGAATGAGTGGCTTTGTACTAAAGACCCAATTAACTTAATAAATGTCAAATCGTCCATTTGCTCTATGCTGCAGCTGATGACTGTTGACACATATGCACAAAAATTAAAAACTTGCATAGCGTTTGTGTATGGCTCACTTAGTAACTTCCACAATTTCAATTCCTCTTTCCCTGAAGGCTGACCATCCTTCTCAGAATTGCAATGTTATATTTCTGAATGAATGACTATTTAACTAAGGAGGGATTTCGGAGAGCTTTATTTTTGTTGAGCAAGATTTGTTGATAAACCCATAAAATACCATAAAATATCCATTCTGGAAATATTACTTGAACTGCGTCAAAGTATCTGACCACAATGTCTCCTGTGTACTATATCAGTGTGATTCAATGGAGGCTTATTAAGACAGTCCAGTAAATATTTACACATTCTGGGTGAGATTTTATGGTCTTAATTCAAGACTACACCCAAATTAGGTGGGATACAAAATGGTGATCAAAGTGTGGATCGAGAAGTCCCATCCCACTTGTATTTCAAGTGATTTTCAGTTGTAGGGCAAGAAACCCACATGCTACTATTTCAAATTTATAGACACAACTTGGAAGTGAACATTTCAGAGCATGTAAAATTTCCTTGGATAAAACCTTGCTTTGAAAGGCTCTAAAATCATACCTGGTGAGTGGACAAATTAACCACAGATTGGAGGCAGGGCTTTTATAAAAGGTGAGCAAAAATGGTATTGTCCTATTTTCAGTTCATCATTCAGTGTTGTAAATTGGTGGCACGGTTACACAGTAGCTAGCATTGCTGCCTCAAGGTGCCAGGAACCCAGCCTTGGGTGGCTGTCTGTGTTGACTTTGCTTGTTCTCCACGTGTCTGCATGTGTTTCTGTCAGGTATTCTGGGTTAGTCCCACAGTCCAAAGATGTGCAGTTTAGCTGAGTTGGCCATGCTAAATTGTCTAGGGATGTGCAGGCGAGGTGGATTAGCCATGGTAGATGCAAGGTAATGGGGGTGGTGGTGTCTGGGTGAGATGTTCTTCAGAGAGTCGGTACTAGGTTGAATGGTCTCTTTCTACTCTAAGGATTCTTTAGAAATTTCTACTTTTACTGCTGTTGATGACAATAGGTGATTACAAAAGGTATGGTGGCCATTAAATAATGTGTTTGCCAAGTTGTTACTTGTTAATTCTGAGAAACAGCAATGTGTCCTGTGAACAGGACTCTAAAAATGGCAAAATTTTATTAGATCACCAGTGGGATGAAGTGATATTCTGTATTGTACAACATCGAAAGTATAGGCTAATGAGAGTTTAGTTGTTAACTGTTCACATTTCTCCCATAGCTATCAATCATTCTTCACAAAACAGCTCAGCCATCTGTTTTGCAGTTTGAATTATTTGACAGATTTGAGACTTTGGCTATCTTCAAATGCACTGACAGATTCTGCATCACACATTTATTTAGAGAGCCAGCTTGGCAATAATAGTTGATGGCTTGGCTGCTTTGAAAGGTATGAATGGATTTTGCACTTAAGGGTTTGATTTCACATTTGTCTCGGGGAAATATAAGCTTGTTTATTTTGACAAATTTATGATCTAAGAGGCTGATTTTTTTTAAGTATCTCTTCAAATGTTTTGGTAACTTTGAAAGAATTAAGGTTTTTGAAGAGTTACAGTTTTTAATAAAGGGCTCCTGAGTTCTATCTCTAAATTGGACACTGGGTTTGGAAGTTAAGAATGGTGAGGGGTTAAAAAGATGAATTGAGGCAGGAGGTGAAGGGAAGGCTGACAGAGGTGAGGATGAGGGAATAGAGTGAGCAGGACTTATACAGAATTGAGCTGATGTTGCAGTGCCTGGGGGTCGAGGTTTTAGTCTGGCCCCTTCAACATTAGCAGGGTTATGGTTGCATGCCATGTATCTGAAAACTGAAATGTAGGCCTCTCTCAAACCTGTTTTCCAGGATCTCCAAATCTCCAGTTAGTGTTTCTGCTGGAGAAAAAGACCAGGAAGCTACTGGATGTGGATTAAGGGAGAGTTACAGCATGCAGGAAGTTGCCATCTTTATCTGCAACAAATAAAAAAGCATAAGTGGTGTGTATGCAGATAGAAAATATTTAAAAATGGGAGCGCAAGATGAGAGCAAAGGCACATTATCCTACGTATTATAAATAGTAATATAGGGAACAAAAGCAGGGCCAATTATGTGCTTTTACAAATAATTGTTTATAAAAATTGCAGTGAGGAAATAAAATCAGGCAGATAATGGAACAGGTGACTGGTTCACTGGTACAGTGTTCACTACCACCCAAGATGTAAAACCATGAAAAGAACATTATGTAAACAAATTATTTGCTTGTCTGTTTCAACTCCAGAGCATCTTCCCTGCCTGTCATTTTCAGTTGCTGCACTAAGCATGGGCTGATGAGGGGTATGTTTTCTGTGAGTGCAGGAGAAACATCAGTTGTCGGTCTGATTATGTAAGCGCCCTTGAGCTATTTATCTTCAAACAAGTGGAAGTGGAGAGCACGAGTTCAAGTCAGACTGCAGTGCCAATTGCACGCACAGTTCAGAAGAAGCAAGATGATGAGCAGAGAAGCAACTGTGATAGCTCTGCTCCTGCTTCTTTGTGCAGCTGCTCAAGGTATATGGAAACAGTTACATTCCCTTTCAGAATCAGGAAGGATCATTCTCCGTGTGATGAATGGAAGTTGATTGTGAACCTAAAAATATTTTTTCAGTATTCACCTTATTGTTTGATATAAGGCTTGATTGAAGGTTGTGAAAGCTACAGTTCTTGAGATAAATCTAGAATTAGAATTTTACCCTGGTTGTGGCAGACAGGCAGGTAATTTAGGGTGGCTGCGGTTTTGACGCTATAATGTATGTGATCCACATGTTTTCATGCCACAGTGAATGCAATCTTTTATCCAGGATTCCTAACCCAAAAGTGCTGATAGATTTAACTTCCAGTTAAATAGGGAGAACCCTACAGTAGGCCATAGCACCTACATAGTTCCTGTAGGGAACCTACAGCTGCCACTGAACGTGTGGAACAGGGGTCCATTCTCTGACCTCAAGGCTCCCTAATCCCTGACACCCAAGGGATCTTTGTTTTGTGGGAGGGTTGGGTCACCATCTGAGGGAGGGTGGGTTGTGTTCCTACATTCCAGAAACATGAACCCTTCCCTCCTATAGTATCCAGTTATTGCCTCATTTGAAAGCTTGTATATCCAAAATCCATGGATATCAGACCCACCTCAGTAGTCACACTTTCACTTTTGAATCAGAAGGTCTTAGATTCAAGCTCCCCTCCTGAGATTCATGTCTGTATCTAAACTAAGTCTAATGGAAAACTGAAGGAATCATGCACTGGAAGAGATGTCATCCTCCCAATGAATCCAAATCTGGAGCATCCTCCTGTTATAATAGTCAATATTAAATAAAAACATTTTAAGAAACAGATTATCTGAAGACGTCTCGTTGTAAATTGTAGGTCTTAGTGAGGGTAAGTTGGCTTTTCCAGTTTCCTATATTGCAACAGTGACTGAATTTCATTGGCAGTAATAGCACAAAATGTTCTGAAATCATGGCAGGTTGTACTTACATTAAGGTTTGTTCTTTTGTTCCTATTTATCATCTAGAATTTTTAAAACGTGGGTGGGTAGACTTCCAGCACACTCAGTGTCAGTGAGATTAAATTTAAAGCTTGCATGATCTCTGTGTCTGCTTTGGAGAATTTTATTCATGTGTCCACGTGGCTATTCTCAATGATATCAGTGAAAAAAGTCGGGTGATTCATATAGGTAGCAGTCTACAGTGCCTCTTATACTCAGGCAAATGATGTAAATCTGTTTATACAAATTACATTCTTCTCTGTTGACTACTATCCAGATAACCGATATATACCAACGATAACAGGATTTTCACAGAAACCAAAATTTCAGGATTAGCTTGATTTTTTTTTGACCAATATGGAACCCAAATCCAATAAGATAGATGAGAGTGAACTAAATTTACTGCTGGGGCACCAAACATATGGAACAGATTGCCCACCTTTAAGGATTGGTCTTATCATAATTTAATCTCCAAACATAGGTGAATAAACTCCACAAAGGCCAGTAGCCCATCACCAAGCCACATTTTATTTGCATCAGATACTGGTGGCATGTACCAGACTGTAACATGCCTCTTGCATCCAGAGCAGTTTGGCAGAAATTCATCTTCAGGTAGTTACTGTGTCAAAGCTGCGACATCTGCCGTGTCCATCTAGTCCTCAGAGGTTTCTTCAATACTAGGCAGAGGGGGAGGACCCATGGGTTCTGACAGCCTTGCATGACATTCTGACGGACCAGGTATGTTTTGCTCCCGCCCCGTTTGCAAGGTTGCAGCTTTCATGTGGCCTACATGCTTGTTCAGGGCCACCTCTCCTACCTGAACTTTGCATGTCACCTTGCATTGAACATGCCCCTTACCCATACAGGGCCATTCCCGTAGTTTTGACACCAAACTTTGTCCCCTGAAGTAATCTGCCTCTCTAGCTTAGAGGAGTCTTGTGTCCAGCATTGGCATTCCCGATGCTGTTCCACCCTCCTCCTCGCAGGTCTGGGAAGATCAGGTTTAACTTGGTGCAGAGTCTTATCCCCATTAGCAACTCTGCTGGAGCTGTCCCTGTAGTCGCATGAGGGGTGGTCCTATAATCAAACAGGAACTAGGACAGTTTGGTATCGAGTGAAGATGTAGAATGTTTCTTTAAGCCTGCCTTCAAAGTTTGGACTGGACTGCTCTTTCCACCAGACTGTTGGATGATGGATGATGTAGAGCTGTCATTACATGCTGAACGCCATTCGACTTTGGGAAATACTTGAAATGCTTGCTGGTAAATGATGGCTCATTGTCTGAACCAACAGCTCCGGGAGTGCGTGCATTGCAAAAGATACTCACAATGTTTCAATCGTCATCCCCGCATTTGACAAATAAACTCTATGCATATCCAACCACTTTGAATGGGTGTCCACAATGACTAAAAACTTACAGTCCATGAAAGGAACGGCATAGTCAATGTGCAGTCGAGTCCAGTGTTTACCCAGCCATTCCCACAAATGTGGGGGAGCCCTTGGTGGTAATTTTTGTCCATTAGAACTGGATGATCATTTAACCAGACATTTATTTTGATTGAGAGAGATAGTAGGAACTGCAGATGCTGGAGAATCTGAGACAACAAGGTGCAGAGCTGGATGAACACAGCAGGCCAAGCAGCATCATAGGAGCAGAGGGATGCTGCTTGGCCTGCTGTGTTCATCCAGCGCTGCACCTTGTTGTCTCATTTATTTTGATTGGTTCTGATTTGGATGTTGTTAAACAATTTAACTGTTCCAAACCAGCTGTAAGTGGACTTTCCAGGATGCACTCTCCTGGATACCAGCCTATGAGTTCTCTTACTTAATTCAGGCCTGGTGGCACTCTTTTGCTATCTCAAGTCTGCTTACAGGCAGCAACTACAATGGCCTGCTTGCCTAGATCCTCAAGGAAATTTTAATCATTTGACTTATTGTCAGGTTTTATTTTCAGATTTTTCTGTGGGCTGACCTAGGGAATCTGCTCAGGATATGTCCTGAGTGTTCTTATGCAATTGTCTTCACTCAGATGGTGTTCTCCAAGTGCAGTCAGCCTGGAGAGGGTGTTCACTTCCATCGGCATACCCTGTATGTTCCACGTGCCACATTTTCTAATGTCAAAGACAGTTTGAAGCCCACATAGGCTTCAGCGAGTAGACTCATTTACATGGTCACAACTACCCCTATAAACCAGTGCCCACATTGTACAATCCCATTGATACCTGGTCTAGGGGAAACCCCTCACCAGTGCTTTCCAATTCAGTTTTGTACTTCCCCTTGTTAACCCATGAAACAGAATGGGAAACTGATGGATGGAAATCTTTGCAGATATCATTACTTTTAAAACAACAAAAGTTCACCACAGTCACTATTCATGTGCTCGTCAGGTTTAATTTAGAGATAGTAGGAACTGCAGATGCTGGAGAATCTGAGATAACAAGGTGTAGAGCTGGATGAACACAGCAGGCCAAGCAGCATCAGAGGAGCAGAAAGGCTGACGTTTCGGGTCTAGACCCTTCTTCAGAAATGGGGGAGGGGAAGGGGATTCTGAAATAAGTAGGGAGAGAGGGGGAGGCAGATAGAAGATGGATAGAGGAGAAGATAGGTGGAGAGGAGACAGACAGGTCAAGGAGGCGGGGATGGAGCCAGTAAAGGTGAGTGTAGGTGGGGGGTTAGGGAGGAGATAGGTCAGTCCAGGGAGGATGGACAGGTCAAGGGGGCGGGATGAGGCTGGTCGGTAGAAGATGGGGGTGGGGCTTGAGGTGGGAGGAATGGCAAGGTGGGAGGAAGGACAGGTTAGGGAAGTGGGCCGAGCTGGGCTGGTTTTGGGATGCGGTTGGTGGAGGGGAGATTTTAAAGCTTGTGAAGTCCACATTGATACCACTGGGCTGCAGGGTTCCCAAGCGCAATATGAGATGCTGTTCCTGCAACCTTCGGGTGGCATCATTGTGGCACTGCAGGAGGCCCAGGATGGACATGTCGTCAAAGGAGTGGGAGGGGGAGTTGAAATGGTTCGCGACTGGGAGGTGCAGTCATTTGTTGCGAACCGAGTGTAGGTGTTCCACAAAGCAGTCCCCAAGCCTCCGCTTGGTTTCCCCGATGTAGAGGAGGCCACATCTGGAACAGCGGATACAGTATACCACATTAGCAGATGTGCATGTGAACATCTGTTTGATGTGGAAGGTCTTCTTGGGGCCTGGGATGGTGGTGAGGGGAGAGGTGTATGGGCAGGTGTAGCACTTCCTGCGGTTGCAAGGAAAGGTGCCGGGTGTGGTGGGGCTGGTTGGGAGTGTGGAGCGGACAAGGGAGTCACAGAGAGAGTGGTCCCTCCGGAAAGCAGATAAGGGTGGGGAGGGAAAAATGTCTTTGGTAGTGGGGTCAGATTGCAGGTGGCGGAAGTGCCGGGGGATGGTGCGTTGGATCCGGAGGTTGGTGGGGTGGTACGTGAGGATGAGGGGGATTCTGTTTTGGTTGTTATTGTGGGGAGGGGGTGTGAGGGATGAGTTGCAGGAAATGCGAGAGACATGGTCGAGGGCGTTTTCGACCACTGTGGAGGGGAAGTTGCGGTCCTTGAAAAACGAGGACATCTGGGATGCGGCGGAGACAAAGGAATTGGGAAGAGGGGATGGCATTTTTGCAGGAAGGTGGGTGAGAGGAGGTGTACTCTAGGTAGCTGTGGGAGTCGGTAGGCTTGAAATGGATATTGGTTTCCAGGTGGTTGCCAGAGATGGAAACAGAGAGGTCCAGGAAGGAGAGAGAGGTACCCTGCAGCCCAATGGTATCAATATGGACTTCACAACCTTCAAAATCTCCCCTCCCCCAACCGCATCCCAAAACCAGCCCAGCTCGTCCCCGCCTCCCTAACCTGTCCTTCCTACCACCTATCCATTCCTCCCACCTCAAGCCCCACCCCCATCTCCTACCTACCAGTCTCATCCCATCCCCTTGACCTGTCCATCCTCCCTGGACTGACCTATCCCCTCCCTAACGCCCCACTTACACTCACCTTTCCTGGCATCAAGCCCGCCTCTTTGACCTGTCTGTCTCCTCTCCACCTATCTTCTCCTTTATCCATCTTCTATCCGCCTCCCCCTCTCTCCCTATTTATTTCAGAATCTCCTTCCCCTCCCACATTTCTGAAGAAGGGTCTAGACCCAAAACATCAGGTTTCCTGCTCCTCTGATGCTGCTTGGCCTGCTGTGTTCATCCAGCTCTCCACCTTGTTAAATCATATTTGATGATGTCCACTTGGCTGATCACATTCCAATCACTACAACAGTGATTTTGTTGTAGCAATTGACTATTCAGCCAATTAAGAAGGGAATTTATTGTTAAAGATGCTGAAACGCAACTACTTTGACAATCAGTGTGGACTCAAAGCTGAGTAGCATAGCACTACTTCGAGCAGCATTGCCAAGGTGACTTTCTCTATCTTAGAGTTGCTACAGAGCTCAACACAGCTAGTGGATGAGTTCTATTGCAATGTAGTTAGTGGAAGGCTCCCAGTTTTCTGTGTAGGCTTCAGGGTAGACTTCACATTGCGTCAGAGGATACCTCAAACAGTTCTGGACTTTGATGATCCAGTTTCAGACTACATTACCTTGGCATGAGTGATAAAAGTGGAATCGATGGGATAGCAATGAGCACAAATTCTGTTATTACCAAGAGAAGTCAGCAGGTTGGTGCTCCATGCAGCTACTGACATTCCAAAAGCGTAGTACCGCAGCAATGCTGATAAATCTGCTGGAGCACAGATTTTTGGACCATTGCAGAAGGTTTCAAGTACCTTTGAGCACTGGTAGCCACATTCATGATGGCAGCAGTATGTGTTTGGATGACAGTAATCGGAATGTAATGATGTCCATCTGAACTTCTGCTGCAGCAGGTAACCATTGGGAGATCAGAACCTGTGCTACACTGAAACCTAAGACAACAGCGAGCAGATTCTCTATCAGAGGTACATATATCAGTGAGCAGTGACTATAGTAAATCTCCATCAAACAAGAGAATATCTCTGCTGAGTCCCTAAGGTAGGAATCATTGATAGATCGTGGTCTAAAAGGTGAATGAATAACCTATTCTTCAGGGCTGAGAATTCTCACTTCAAACTCATGTGCCATTGTCTGGTTTATTCATAGATTTTTTTTAATATATAGGATTCCTTTTAAGGAGAGCAGGACGTTGTCATTGTCCAAGAGCGACAACAGCCTCCATTCCTTTGCAGTACATCAAGGACATCAAATTTATCTCCAGGGGCCCTCACTGCTTCAAAGAACAAGTGATGTAAGTAATAATTCCAATCAGTTCTTTGGAATAAAATTCTAGCATTATGCACCCAGCTGAAACCAGGCAGGACCCTGCCATCTGCAATTTTAACCTTCTTTGCTAACAGGCAGCTAGGTTAGCCACATAACAGTGGCAGGTCCTTCTTATTGGAATCCAGCTACAATTTTTACTAAGGCCTGAGCAGGGAAGATTTGAATTTTTCAGCCTGATCAATCTCGAATGGACGGGGTAAACCTCCAGATGTGGCTGAGAAAGTTAACTTTTGCTTTCTTTCCTTAATGAAGCCAGGAGCACCATAAATATTCCTCCAAAGGCACTCACAAAAAAATCCCAGGCTTTCAGTGAACCAGCTCCAGTCCTGCCATCTACATTGTATTAGCAGTGTCTTCAGGCCTCAGGATACTCAAAGACTTCTTGTAATCGCCACCTGTTTTGATCATGAAGTGGAAAAAGTGGCAGACTGATCAGCTCTTAGAGTTAAAATGGCTTGAAACTGATAGTGACATTTCACCAGGCATGAGCCTGGAGTTAATATTGTAGCCTTTGTACCATCCATCTCCAAAACTGTCTATTTTAAGCAAACGAAAATGTCAGGCAGACTATTATGTTCTCGTTCGCAATAGTTGGAGCACATTGCAGCTGCATGTGCTATCCATTCACAGTCTGAGCTGTCAAACTAACGGCGGGCCATGAAGAGAGTAATTAGACCAACTAATACACTAATATTACTGACTCTTATTTGAAAGCAGAAAACAATGTAATCTGGCTTGTTTTTTTTTGTTTCGTTCAAATTTTTACTCGCCATAAAACTGAGAAATGTAAAATTTTCAATGTAACGGAAATCTAAGACTCACATTTTGATTCAGTTGTCCAAACAAATCATTTATGACTGACTGCCTGAAATTATCTTCTCATATTTAACCAACATCAGTAATATTCAGGCTCTACCCATCCATGCACATTCATTGCCATTAGCTAATCTGCTGATAGCTAACAACATTTTACACAGAGGTTGAAGCATTCTGTATCACTGCTTTAATATTGTAACCATTTTGCTTTTTAGTGCAGCACTTCAAATGAATTCTAATTGTTACTGCTCACCCACTATATGTACAATTTCTGCTCCTTCCAGTGCAGTTTTAACAACTGGAGGTGAAGTCTGCATAAAGCCTCATGCAAACTGGTTGAAAAAAATTGAAAGAAGGTGGGTCCATAATGTTATTTCTTAATAGAATACAAATTGGACTGATGAAGTGCAAAAATACTTCAACAATGCCCATGTCTAATATTAAATTCACGAGGTCAGGGACAAAAATCCATGCAGTACCTGCTATGCCAATAGGAGACAGCAGTGATCTATATTCTCAACCGAGCACTGACACAAGAGCCTGGCTATTAACAGACAAGGTTAAATAGACCAGGGAAGGTTGGAGTTTTGGATGGGAAATCTGGAAATCTATGATTCCCTGGATGCTGTGGTGTTTGAACTACTCCACAACAGCTGTCTTTTGTCAAGGTTTGCCGTTGCCTTGAAGTCAGCGAGATAGACAGACTTGGCTTGCATCTGGATGGGGTTAATATGGAGAGAGTCGTATTCCTGATATAGTGGGGGGTTGGGGAAGGGCAGCTGATTAATTCCTGACCTCTGCAGTGAAGGTCATTTGATCCTTAGCGAGTCTGATCCCTGATCCCAGCAGTCTTTTGAATGGAAGTGCTGATGATTCTGAAGGAATTCTGGTCACTCCTGACCCACAAGCAGTGCTGTAAAAATGCTTATCTTCTTCGCAAAGCTGGCCTCACCTCATTACAGCTGCCAGGTCTCCTGAGGCCTAGACAGCCAGGCTGATCATGTTAAACTAAAACTGGTTAAATCTGAAATTAATTATAGAATCCCTACAGTGTAGAAAGAGGCTGTTTGGCCCAATGAGTCTGCACTGACACTATGAAAAAGCTTCCTACGCAAACCCAACCCTACATTTTAAAAGGGTAATCCACCTACATACTAGGGGTAATTTACCATGTCCAATCCACCTAACCTGCACATCTTTGAAACAGGAGCACCTAGAGAAACCCCACACAGATATGGGCAAATGTATAATTGCCACCACACAGACAGTCATCTAAGGCTGGAATTGAACCCAGGTCCCTGAGGTTATGAGGCAGCAGCACTAACCACTGAGCTGCCCATTGCAATTTTGTAAATTGCTGGCCTCACTCCTAGAAGTGGGTGGGCCTTCAACCCCATGGCCCACCCCTGTAAATCCTACCGTGGGCATGTTAGAATTCAGATTGTTAAAAATGTCCCCATTTTCATGATGATAAAACATATCCATTTTTTTTTGAGTGTTAAAACTCACCCAAGAAATCTTAGAGCACAGAAAGAAGCCCACTCAGCTCATCCTGCTTGATGCAGTCCAAGAAAGAGTTTTCCAATTAAACCTGCATCATCGCCCTTATGTGTTCTGCCCTCTGCCCTGCTTTTGGAAGCAAGCCCCACCTCGGAAAGTTGCTGACCAACTCCTGGTCAAGTGTTGGCCAGAGATGTGGGAATACCCACAGCGTGCCCGGTGTTGGGAGGCAGTTGTGAATGGAGACTCGTAACCCGAACACTCCTGCCCCTCCCCCCATCAAGAGAGAGGGGCAAAAGGGACACTTTCCAGGCTTCCCCTGTGCCCTTGATCTCCTCCCACCAGTGCGAAAGTTGAGATTGGAAGGGATCAGCCCTTACGTGATTACTTATTGGCCACTTGGTCAATTGGAGCAAGGAAGGGCAAGCCGGATGAGGCTTCACCTGCTCTGCTGCAAAATGATGGACAGGTTAGGGTAGGAGTGAACCCAGTGGGAAGGATAACTGAAGAATTTTACTGCTCCCTCCCTCCCCACTTACCTGCCACAGGGATATGTGAAACTCTGCCCTATCAGTAGATGACAGATTTATTTTGTGTCTTGCTGTGAAAGTTTGTAATAAAAAACAAGCGTAATTTAGGTGTTTGTAACTCCAATGATCACATAGTGTAGTTGAAATTGTTCTTTCAGTCTCCCCAAATTGAAATACTTGTTTCAGAATCTATCCCATTTTCCCCTTTGTAGTTGAATTTTAACCCATGATTCTAGTTTTGCAAGTCAGCATTTAAATTCTTATAAAAACCGAAAGAACTGCGGATGCTGTAAATCAGGAACAAAAACAGAAGTTAATGGGAAAGGCTCAACAGGTCTGGCAGCATCTGTGAAAAAAAAAGTCAGAGTTAACGTTTCGGATCTGGTAACCCTTCCTCAGAAAGTTCTGCGGAAAGGTCACTGGACCCGAAATGTTAACTCAGATATTTTCTTCACAGATGCTGCCAGTCCTGTTGAAATTCTTATTTTTGGAGCCAGTGCTGTTTTGTATTTCCAGGCCATTTGACACTGTAACCATTAGGAGAATCCAATTCTAAGCTCAGATCCATGATATAATATGCCAATCACTGGTTATCCTAAATTTTTGCAGATTATCCCTCAACCTTGCAACAAAAACTGTATTTGTGACTGTCTAACTCCTTCCCACTGAGAATTCTTCCACTGCCTTCCCCACAGTGCATTTTTCCACTGATGGATTCCTTCCCTCAACTTCCTTTTTGGAACCAGTGCTTTGTCTTCCCCATGGAGTCTTCTTTGTCAGCCTAAAAACTATCCCTTCATTCACCCTCCTTCCTCATCATTGAACTTTGCTTGGCCTTATGACTGTATGTGGTTTTTTACTTCAGGTTCTTTCCAATGTCGTTTGATTGTTATTGTTAAAAATGTGACTGTCTATTTAATATTAAAATGCTCATATTAAAATATTGTACAGTTATATATAACACCTACATATAAAACTATACAGGATGTACACCACTGAAACAAACCATTCAGCCCAACTGATCCATGGCTGATCCTTCCATCCCTTTTCATCAAATTCAGCCAGCACATTCATCCTTTTCCCCTCATCTTGCTTCCTTTTAAGTACTTTTATACTAGCCATTCCAACTTACCTCAAACTATTCCTTCAGAAAGCAAGTTCCATATTCTAACACGCTCTGAGGAAGGAAGTTTCTCCTTAATTCACATTGGACTTATTATTGATCATCTTTCAACTTGAAGTCCTGTTGCTTATTCACATGCAGTAATTCCTTGCTAGGCCAGAATCCACTTGTGTCACTGCTCCTCCAATGCCTTACCGAAGCTCTGGATAAAGTGGGAAGATAAACTGTCTGTATCTTCCATTGCAGTTTCCAAGGAGGGATACTCTCCCTGTGATATTCCAGATCATTCATCCATCATTCCAACTTCCAGCTGCTCTTGCTGGCAGCTTCCTATACAGCTGCAAAAACTTCTATTGACCTCTTCCCACACCACGGCCCAAAGACTTACTTGATGAAAATGAATAATTTCTCCATTCCCCCTAATCAAGTGCACTGTATTCACTATTGATAGTGCAGTCTCCTCCATACTAAGGAAGCCATGTGTAGATTAGATTACTGCTTTGCCGAACACCTCCATTCCATCTTTTGGCCTAACCCTGAGATGTTAGTGACTGTCCATTCCCACCCTCTGCCCTGAACCTTTGTACACAAAGTGCTTCCGTAATAACAGAGGAAATTCCAGCCATCATCACATGCTTGGTAACCTGGCAGGTCAAATTATCTGTCAGTTCTAGAGCCTGTCTATTGTCTATTTCAATGAATTTATTCAAATAAAACTCACACATGTAATAGAATAGGTGGGAGATCTCCTCTGGCAAGTTAGTATCACCAACCTCTATTCTCCCATCATTATGCTTTACTTTGGAAATTTAGGTAAATACATTTACCTTATTAAAAATTCAGAAGTGCAGGATATGTGTTTTATAGAGCATTGCAGGGATGTGGGATTAAAGTTCACTTTTAAGGTCTTCGCAAAAATTTGTAGCTCGGGCTGTGGATGCAGTTGTTCGCTCGCTCGCTGAGCCGATTGTTCTGTGGTGTGCAAAAGTTTTGTCACTCTTCAGTGCGACCTCTAATCGAAGCGTTGGTGTTCTACTTCCTTCCGGATTTATATGACCCACTGGTGGGACGGTCTTGTCACTTCCGTTTCTGGTGTTTCAGCAGCATTTGGCACACAGTGTATATTTCTATGTGTTTGTTAATGGAGTCCCATGTTGAAAATCAGGCTTCCAGAAATTCCCTTACATGTCTGGTGTTCACTTGTCCCAGTATGGTCACTTTGTCCCAGTTGAACTGATGGCCCTCATTGTCTCTGTGTATTGAGACAAGTGAATATTGGTCGTGTCTTTTTACTGTTCGTGTATCCTGGTCATCAGTTTCCTCCCTGTTTGTCCAATGTAATGTTTATTGCACTCGCTGCATGGGATTCTGTATATCATGTTGGTCTTGTTTACTGTTGGTATGGGATCTTTAATCAAACGCACAGAAGTAGAAGATCCGGAAACAGAACACCAACGCTTCGATTAGAGGTCTCCCTGATGATGTTGCCTAGAAGGGTAAAGAAACATCTACACACCACAGAACAAATGGCTCAGCGAGCTAACGAACAACTGAAATTAACTTTCTTCCTTGCTTCTCAGTGATGGACCAGAATTAGGCTGTCATGCGATGATGGCAAATGGAGACCAAGCATCACCTTCGGGCGTGGGGAATATCGATGTTCTCGCAATTCTCGAATGCTTCATTTTAATTGGCTTGAGCATTTCCATTGATAGAGGTACTAGGAACAGGCCCACAACCCATCATCCCTGCTCTAGCGTTGCAGAAGACCAGAAAGTGGACAAAACTTGGGAAACGGGGAAGAGCAGAATTACGAGAAATAAAAGTATCTTTCTCTCTTTTTGCTTTTAGGCATCCAGAGCCAAGTACAGGCTGAAGAAAGTAAACAATAATGAATGTCATGGGATGCTTCAGGAATTTATGTCATAAAAATTGCTGAACACAATCTTTATCTCAATGTTTCATACAGTAATATTTTGTATAGCTACGAATGACAACTTTACTTGTCCCTTGGGTAACAGTGAAAATATTTTAATCATATAACAATTTCAGAACATGATTACCCTTCTCCACATCAGTTAGCTTCACTGTACACCCCAGGCCCTGCATTGTATGGGTTGCTCCCTGCAGAGCCAACTCATTTTCAATTATTCACACTTCTACTTAGCACCCTACTCTTTCTTGGCTTATCATCAGCTGCCTCTTTGTTTGCCCATCCCCTTTTGCCTCACATGCTCTTTCTCCATCTTTTCTCAGCCTCACTCCTTCTTTTATTTCTCTTTCTCCTTTTTTTTCTCTCTCTGTCTTTTCTCTCCTCTTCTCTCTCTCTGAGCTCTGTCCCCATGTACACTATTCACTCCCCTCCAGCACATCACTGGACACAAAATGTTAACTCTTTTTGTTCCCTCAACAGATGCTGCCAGACCAGTATGGTTTCTCCAAAACCCTTTGCTTTTGTTGCAGATTTCCAGCATCCACAGTTCTTTGTGCTTATTTGAGTGAGAATATTTTGTTGTTCATGTGAGCACTAGGTAAATGGTAAGATTTATAAGAAGTTATTAAAATACAAAATGTACTGTCAGAAATCTGTGACAATGTTAAATAAATATCTCTGAAAAAAGAAGTAGTCCCTAGCCCCATCACTAATCTCAATGAAGTGTTGCGCTGTCAAAGGGTCAGAGGGTAACATGGTCTACAATATCCTTGGGGCCCTGTGGAACATCTATAGCTGCTCTGCCCATTGTCCAAACTGATGATGAATCAAAAGTTCAAGACACCTGTTCAATAAAATCCAAAGAATGCCAAGATAGAAGTGTTTATCAAGAAACTATAAGCAGAAAGGGAACAACAAATGCAATTGCATCAACAACTGCATACTAATCTATGCCCATTTGGGAAGGCCAGAATTTGGTTCCCCTAACCTTAATCCTTCCCGGGCATTTCAGGTTTACAGTACAGGAAATTCAGATAGAAATACAATAGATCCAGACTTTACCCTAACTTTTATACTGTCCCTGACCCCTCTGAGCTTTGGTCCTAAGTAAGGACAATTGAGTTGATGAGTCCAATAATAGAGCAGGAATAGTTGAGGCTTGTAAATTAACTTGTAAATAAGCTCCTGAAGGGAATCGTGTTTATTCCATCCTGAATTCAACTTTTATGGAACTCAGACGTGAATGCAAGAGATTAGGCTGAAGTTTTCAGAATTGGTGTTGAGTAGAAAATACAGCATGCCCTCCTTTTGAGGTGCCCCCCCAACCCCGCAGCGAAGGTACCTAACCAATTCAGATCACTTAACACATGACGTGAGGAAGCAGCTCTATTCACTGAACACAGTACATGCCAGCACCCAGCTGAAATACACTTAGCTCACGGCTCACCAACCTGGGTCAGCCCAACTCTGATATGGATATCTACCTAACAATCTGCAGAATTCCAGGTTGGTAATTTCCACGAAAATAAAGCAACCAGGAAACGGTTTTTGTTTCCAACTGATAAATTAATTCTGTACCCTCTATTCTGAATTCAGAAGTGAAACATGTTTCTATGATTTCATCGTGTACAACTCTACTGACAGTTCCATTAATAACTAATGAATCCAGGATAGACTACATGAGCAACAGGATAATTTTGCCCAGATTTGGACTGATACATGGGAGTTAGGCTGCAAAACATACCTAATCCATTGCTATCACAGCTTGTATTAGTGACAATGCACTGTGCGCCCAACAGACAAAAAATCTTCAAAATTTTCAAGCGTCTTCAAAGTACTGGATCACACATGATCTGTCAAATCAGTGTGATATCATCTCCCTGGGTCTTCAGTAATGTGCTCCAGTTCACCACCACTTGCCAACTATAATGGAAAATAACCAGAGAAATTAACCGAGCCAGAGACTACCATTAATATAAATGAGTGATAGGATTGGATTTCAGGAACATCGCACGAGATCTTGTATTCAGGAATTTCAGAAGTCAGGATCTTACCTATTCTGTGGATTTTACTCCTAACTTCACAAAGGAAATAGAAATGGCTATTATGATCTTTTCTGTTCTGGTTTATTGCATAGAGAGTGATTTCCCCTGTTCAATATTAAGTCAAGTCCTGATAACATCATCAGACTCTGATATTCATCTGTAAAGAGGACTCCACTGGCTTTGAGGGGGTGGTCAATGACAACTGTTAGCAGAGCTAGTTAAAATTATTGACACTCGTATTGTAGTAGTTTATGACACTTAAATAACATGGAGTATTTAGTTATGGGACAGCTTGATAAGTTCATCATGTTGCACAGTGGATAGTGTGCTTGTGGATTGGGAGGCAGGAAGTTAGATTTTGGGTGTTTGTAAAATGTTAAGGGGGGAAAGCAGGGTGTGGTCCCTTTAAAAGCTGGTATGCTTTTTCAATGCTTAGACGTTCAAAAGGGATGAATGTGAACAGTTTGTGGGTTTTCAGGCACACAGAGAGGGCCTGAATTGGATGATTTGTATCACAAGACTATACTGTTAGCAGACCAAGCTGCAGTTTTGTTTTGTCACCAAACCAACAAGTTTTGAATTTAGCCAATCAATTTGAATCAGTCACTTAGATACCAAAAAACAATTGAATTCAAATCTGATTGTTTTGACAACATAGGGCCAATCATACTGTAAGAAACTGATATGTCGTCAAGGGTATAAAAGAAGCGGGCAGTTGGATAAAGATGGGAGAGTTAACTGCCATCTGCCAAAGTAAACAGTCCTCAGCTCTCAAGAGAGGACAGGCTCTCACAGACTTCTTTAAGTCTCAGAGAAAGCACCATCTAAATCAATGGTACCAATAGCACTACTAGTTTATATTCCTGACAGAAGAATTGACAGAGAAGGCATTCCTGACAGAACATTTGACGGACCAGGCACAGAACATTCCAGAAGACATGCAACCTAGTTGTGATTTCAAGAGACTAAGTTCTATTTTTTTGAAATTTTATATTATATAAGTAGGACCTGTATTTATTGAAACAGCATACCATTAGAATCTTGTTTTATTTGGGAATAGTTAGTAGTTCAAAGGAGTTTATTCAGTGCATTCATAGGTTAGTTAATTTGTTCACTGTTAGAGTTAGTTAAATAATTTGTTACTTGTTGATTGTAAAGTGATTGTCAGGGATTTGTTTTACTTAACCACTAGAAGTTGCTGAAAGGCAGGTTACACCACTTTTCACACTCCTTTTTAACAGATTATGGGGTGAAGCACTCCTCTTTGGGTCTTTTGGTTTTAGTTATCAGACCAGGGTCAACCTCCACTTTATAACAATTGTTTAGTGATACTGACTGATTGCTTCAAATGTTGGTCCGTGTCTTTGATAAATGCAGGCACCTGGAGAAAGTGTTGCACCTTTGTGAGCTGCTGCTTCCTTCGTATGGAAAGTACACTGGGGGAATTGAAAAACAAGACTCTAGTGCTGCATTGATGTATGGACATCTTATTGATTGAACAAACATTACAATTTGAAATGAACTAAAGATAGGGTTGATGTACCATGGCTACAAAGATAGAGACACTATCACTACACCGCAAAAACACTACTTATAGATAGTTTCTGTTCAGAGATTTTATTACAAATCTCTGGAGTAAGTGGGACTGGAACCTGGACATCCGGACTCAGAGATAGGGTCACAACCACCTCGTCACAAGGTGGCCAGTTGATTTTTAATCATATTATTCCTAATCAACCTTTTCAGCGATATGATTACACATTCCTGGAGCCCGTGGGTCTTGAACCCAGGCCTCCTGGCTCAGATGTAGAGTCACTACCACTGTGCCACAAGCCCCCTACTCTTCTTTCACTCGTTGCCAGCTGTGGTTCTTTGAGAAAGGAAATCAACACCTTCCAGTGACACCATCCACCTTCCAGAAACGCCTTGGCACACTGATTTGCAGCCTGGCAGCAGGGATCCCCAATGCAGGGCTCTCTACATGGGAGTCCTCCCTCTTACCATTGGGGACCCAGGAGGGAGGATGTTGCACGCAGCAGTCCCTTAATACCACAGACTGCGGCAATTCACTCCTGGTCCAACTGTTTATTTTACGTGTTGTGGATTCTGTGACCATGTATATATTGGTTGTTTGCACTCCTTTTTATCGTTATCTGAGAAATCTTTCTTTGCATTTTTGGTCGCACTTCAGACCCATGCTGCTGATCTTTGGCACCAAGTGCAGAGGAGTGTGGGCAGATCGGAGGATCTCCTCATGGACCTGCTCCCGTGCCTGGCCAGGCTGGCTATTAACTGTTCCAGGCAGTGGGATGTGGAGGGGGTTGTCTGCCGACTGCCTGTCCCTCTTCCGCGGTTACGTTCGTAATCAGGTATAATTGAAGAGGGAGCACTCGGTGTCTGCCAAGGCTCTCGATGCCTTTTGAGGGAAGTGGGCACCATCGGGGGATACAGTGCTTTATTTCTCCCTCCAAATCCATTTTGATTTAGTTCCCTCCCTCTGTTCAAGCCCTTGCCACACCCCCCTCACATTTTGCTGTTAGTATCACCCCCTTAATAGACTCTGCTTGGAAATATCCAATTGGCCTCAACGTTGTTTTCCTGGCAGTGGAAAATAAAGCATATATATTAAATCCAGAGGGGATCTTGTGCCCCTCTGAGCCATGAAGACTTGGTTCAAGTGCCACCTGCTCTAGTCGTGTCTCATACCATGTCTGATCAGAGAGACGAAGAAAAAGTACATTAAATCCACTCTACAGAGTGGGACATTGGTTCCTGGTGGTGTCAGAATCTATCCGAAAAGAAATGTCTAAAGTTCTACAAGTAATGCTGAGGAATCTCAATTAGTCACTGACACTAACTAAAATTCTTTTATCATTCAGGAAGAGTCGGACAGGCCCACAGGTAGGCAGTAGGA